GGGGAAGGTTGGGGGCGGGGAGCCAGGATGCCTGGGTCTCACCACTGCCTCACTGTGTGTCTTTGGACAGGGCCATCTCTAGGTCTCAGTTTCCCCGTCTGTAAGATTTCTGCACAGGATCCCAGGCAATCAGGGTCCCTAAGAACCAACCAATGACTAAGTTCTGTTGTCTCTCCGAGTGTCCCCTGCTCCATCCCTTTTTTCCAATCATGGCTGTGCCTTCCCTCGGCACTCCCCTTTTCTCCCGGGCCAGGAGCCCCTTTGCCGGTGTCATAGCAAAGGGTCTCCGCCCACCCCAGGCCATACTCCGGTCACAGCATGTATCTGACCATGCCGCCCCCTTCGCTGTGCCAAGCCCTTCCTCAGTGACTCACTGTCCTGTCAGCCTCCTTACATTGCTATGTAACATCCTGCGTGACCTGGCCCCGCCTTGTCTTTCTATCCCGGCTCTGTCTGCACCTTTCAGGCTGGCTTCCGCATCCCTCTCCCACGCCTTTGCTCAGGCTGTTCACCTGACCCTTCCCTGCCCTCTCTCCAGCTCGGACACTAGGCTGGGCTTTCCCCAAACTCGCCAATAGGGGAAGGGCTGGCAGGTTCTTCCCAGGCCCCTCACCACCTTCCAGGGAGCCATTGTCTGATGGCTGAAGTCACTGCTTTGTGTGAAAGGCTGTTTTATGCAGGCCCAATGTGATGGTTGCATTAAGTGACACCATTAGGGAGCTTTTCCGAGTGTTGGGTTATTATTGTAGTTTCCTAGATGTAATTTCTTAGGAAGAATATGGCCAACAGCTGAAGCAGCCTATTCAAGATGCAAAATCAAATGTTACCTACATAGCATGTCTGTCCGTGAATCAGAACCCTGTGTTCATTCTGCAAATAATGAGAGCATCGTGGGCGAGCCTGGGTGCCAGGCTTGGGTGGGGAGAGGGGGGTCGTCCACAGTCCATGCTTTCATTTCTTTTAGGTTTTATCATCTCATCTCCATATTTTGTTCTTTAACTCACTTAGGATTTACATGGGCATATGATATAAAGCGAAACTCTAAAAACGATTTTTCCAAGTTGGACTGTGTACATGTGAACTGTAATCTAGGTCAGAATTTTCCAGAGTGTTATTCTGGTCCTATAAGATGTGCAGGAGTCAAAACGATTGGTAGTAAAAAATGCTTAGGGACTGCTGCGCCCAGAGCCTTGTTAGAGATTCACCTGGACATGCACATAGCAAAGGCTCCGAGGGGTTCTGCAGGAAGTAAGCCTTTATGCCTTGCTTCCTAATTGTATTTGATGACAGAACCTGTTTTTAAATAACAGCCATGACACTATGCAGACATCCACTTTGGAGTGAAGACAGTAGTAGAGTAGAAGCAGGACTGAGGCCTCCTCTGCCTCAGGTCCAGCTTCTCCTCACTGTGGATCTGGGGTCTGGCCAGGATGAATGATAGGCAAATGGCCAGTTCTGCTGCAGGGCCCACAGTGCTATCAGCCCTGCCTGAGCCAGAAACAACGGGTGTCCCGGGGTAGACCAGGTGGCCTGTCTGGCACTCACTTCATGGAGGAATGTTTGCTCTGGGCCTTGAAGGATGAGCAGAAATAGCTCTTATGAGGACAAGATCTCTAGTAGTGACACCCAGCTTCTGTTGGGGGAAGCCAAAAAAAAAAAAAAAAAAGAAAGAAAGAAAGAAAAAAGAAAGAGAGAGAGAGAGAGAGAGAGAGAGAGAGAGAGAGAGAGAGAGAGAGAGGAAGGAAGGAAGGAAGGAAAGAAGGAAGGAAGGAAGGAAGGAAGGAAGGAAGGAAGGAAGGAAGGAAGGAAAGAAGGAAGGAAGGAAGGAAGGAAGGAAGGAAGGAAGGAAGGAAGGAAGGAAGAAAGAAAGAAAGAAAGAAAGAAAGAAAGAAAGAAAGAAAGAAAGAAAGAAAGAAAGAAAGAAAGAAAGATGGAAAGAAAGAAAGAAAGATGGACAGAAAGAAAGAAATGCTGCCATGGCTCCCAGTTGCTCATGAGAATGATGCAAATTCACAGGCTTGGCATTCAAGGCTCTGTGGGACCTGCATGGTCCTACTGCTGTTTGTGCGATTGTCGGGAAAAGGAAGCCTGAGTCTGGATCAGTCTCCCCACTGCCTCCCTGTGTGGCTTTGGACAGGGCTGTCTCCAGGTCTCAGTTTCCCCGTCTGTGAGATTTCTGCACAGGATCCCAGGCAGTCAGGGTCTCTAAGAACAAGACAGGGCAGTAGCACAGACCATGGCTCCAGAACCATGGGGTGGAAAGAGCTATATGAACAGAGATGACCAAATTAGGTGCCCTGGGGAAGCCAGGTGAGAATATACACGTCTGTACCACAGGGCAAAGGTGGGTGTGGCATGCAGCGGGAGCAGGTGCTGGGAAGGAAAGGGCACTTGGCATTTACTTCCCAAGTTCTGGGTCTGCCTTCATGAGGGAGGCCCTCCTGGGGCCTCATTACGACAGTCGGCACAGACCACACACGAGACCCTCCCAAGGCCTCTTTCCTTGGGGAGTCTGCAACCTTCCTTTCTTGTCTGAAACACATAACTGGGGAGTCGGAGTGGAATGAGAGGAGAATGTGGGGACCCAGGTCCCTAGGAATTAATTAGGGCCTGCCAATGAGTACGGTTTCCTCTCTGGAGGCCAATTAGGATATCTGAAAACTTGGGTGGTGGGGAGGCATGTGTGCATGTGCTTGAGGCAGACCCATCTGTACCATGCTGGGCTGGGTGCCTCTCGGGGAAAGTAGGGCCTCAGGGGCACCCTGTCCACTTAGAGGAAACGTGCAAAGATAATCACAGAACGGTTCCATCGTCTAAGAACTGTATGAGGTGCATTATCCTCCTCACAGAAACCCCCCTCCCCTCCGCAGTCTGGTCCTGTAAGGGCCACTCACGAGGGTCCAAGCCCTGGGCTAGCCCTTTACATTCTTGATCCACCAGCAATGCACAGGGTCCTGATTCCCCCACATCCTCACCAGCACTTGTTGTTCTCTGTTTGATGCTAGCCATCCGAATGGGTGCGAAGTGCTATTTCGTTGTGGTTTGATTTGCATTTTGGTGATTTTGAGCCTCATTTCATGTACTCATTGGCCATTTGTGTATGTTCTTTGGAGAAATGTGTATGAATTCGCCCACTTTTAAACTGGGTTGTTTGGTTTTGGTGATGTTGTTGGGTTCTTTATATATTTGGGGAATTAATGCCTTGTCAGATATTTTCTCCTGTTCTGTGGGTTACCGTTTTACTCTCTTGATAGCATCCTATATGAAGAAAAGACTTTTATTTTGATGAAGCCCAATTTATTTATATATTTCTTTTGCTGCCTGTGCTTCTGTTGTCATATAAAAGAAATCATTGCCAAATCCAGTGTCATGAAGCTTTTCTTCAATGTTTTCTTCTAAAAGTTTTATACTTTTAACTCTTGTGTTTAGGTCTTTGAGAGAGGCAGTTTTTAATCTTACTTCATTTAGTAAACATCTATAGAATAGCTTCTAAATGAACTCTTTACAACTCTTTAAGTCAGGCATGTTTTAGATGAGGGATTTGAGGCTCAGAGAAATGAATTAAACTGCCTAAGGCCACATAGCTAATAAGAGGAAGAATCATGACCACTCTAGGTCTTTTGACACCAACTCTACTCTCCTGTGCCATACACTTCGCCTGTTTGTTTGCCTCCTTCTGTTCCTGAAGGCCTAAGAACCAAGACCTCACTCCTCAATAAGGCACACCAGGCTCTTTATTGGGCCAGTCTACCTTCCCAGCCTCATCTTTCCTGAGCCTTTATGTACCCCTAACTTGACCCAGGACTCAGGTCAGCGCCCCATGCTCTCTACTTCTTCCTTCTTCTTTTTCTCAAACCCACTCACCTTCAAAGGCACATCTCACGACCCACTTACTCCAGAAAGACTTTCCTAACCTTTCAGCCCTCACACTTCTCTTCCCACAGAATGTAAAGTTGAAATATACCTCTTTTCATCTCATTACAGTTGTGATATCGGAATCAGCATTAGATTTGGCTTCAGAAAAACCTGATCTTGAATCCTCTTTCTGCTACTCGGTAACATCACGTCATCTCTCAGAACCTCAGTTTCTTCCTCTGTAAAATGGGGACAGCAGTGCTTACACGGCTGGTTTGTGGTGAGACTTACAACGGCCTAAAACTCCACAAGTGCTCAGTGACACTCATTATAGGTTCTTTCTCCTTCTCTCCTTCTCCCCCCACCCATTCCCTCTTCCCTCTGTGCCATGAACAAGCCTGCTCTCCTTAACCACAGCATGTGTGTGTTCCTTTCACCAACTGTGACTCTCTCCCTCTCCCTCTCCCAGCTGTGCAGCAGGAAACTCACCCTGTGCTCATGCCCTCCCCTTGACCCCTTCCAGAAAAAGAAATAAGGCCCATAATGGGAAAGTGACTTCCCTGAAGACACACTGTTAGCTAGGTCTGCCACCTAGGTGTCTGGTGGCTTGTTTTATTAATAGCATTACATAAACTGTAATTATCTTGTTTATTTACTCACTTCTCGTGTGTAGAATGTGCACTCTACAAGGACAAGAACTTTTTCTTGTTCCTCTTTTGTTTCCCATTCCTAGCTCTAGTCTTTTCTTCATAGATGTTTGTTGAATGAAGGAATGTTACCAATTCTGCCCAAAGGAAAAGGCAGTGAGGAAAGTAGTAAATTCAGAATGTCCCCTGAAGGCAGCCCTTTTGAAAGCATTGAGATCCCCTGAACTGTAAGCATCGTTTTAGAATGTGGAGGGCCTGACTTAGAAGGGCCCTTAGGATATCTAGGTCCAATCCCCTCATTTTACAGGGAGAGGAAAGATGGGTAAGGACTTGGGGAGGGACACACAGCAGGGCTGTGACAAGTGCCATTGGAACCCTAGTCTCTTGCTGGCCGATGTAATAACACATGTCCAACACAGCAGCTTGGGTAAAGTGTGGGTCTGGTGTGCCATTAGCCAGGAAGTCCAAGGGCGTAGTTTGGCTTCTGGTGAGGCTGACCTAGGGATTCAGGTGGTAACTTTGCTCTCTTTGCTCCGTCTCTCGAAGGATCTGCTGTCTGTCCTCCCCGGGGCGCTAAGAGGAAGGGTGCATAATGGATCAGCTAAATGGATCTCCGTGAGGAAACTGGGCTGTGGCTTTTCCTTTCATTTGCTCTGAGTCCTTGGGAAGTACACCCCCCCTCTCTGGCTGCGAGGACATCCATCTCCACAAAGTGGCATCTGATGAGATGATTGTTTAGAGAGTGGGAGGGTACTGCTGTTGAATGACAGCATGTGTCAAGGGCTGAGCCATTTGTTTAGCTGCTGCCATGTGCCAGCCCTCTGAGAGGTGCTGGGCATGCAGAGATAGAAAAGGCAGGCCCCGTGCCAGTCTTCATGTAGCTTGGCGTCTGATGAAGAACACATCCAAGCAGTAAAAAGGGAATTACAATTCACTGTGATAAGGGCTATGATTGGGAAGCTTTGATACTAGCTAGAATCTGTGTTCTTTTTCTAGCATAATAACTAGAACAAAAATTGTAATGCCTTTTACAGTAGTAACAACGTTATAATGTCAAAAATTACTACCGTGTTTGTTGAAAAAATCTAGACATTTAAAGGAAAGACATAAAAGAAAATTTTACATGTATCCTGGTTGGCATGGCTCAGTGGTTGAGTGTTGATTATGAACTAGGAAGTAATGGTTTGATTCTCGGTCAGGGCACATGACTAGGTTTCAGGCTCGATCCCCAGTATGAGGTAGCTGATCAATAATTCTCTCTCATCATTGATGTTTCTATCTCTCTCTCCCTCTCCCTTTCTCTCTGAAATAAATTAAAATATATTTAAATGTGTATATGGTGAATCAGATAGGTAAAAAGACATATTGCAAAGCTACAATAATAAAATAATACGGTACTGGTCTAGCCATAGGCAAATAGATAATAGAACTAAATAGCTCAGAAGTAGACAAGGTGTATAGGAATTTGAAATTAATAAAGATGGTACTATACAACAATGAGGAAGAACATATTTTTAAAGATAGATTGAAAAAAAAATAGCTTTCAGCATGAGGAAAAATAAAACAGAATTAGTACCTTACATGTTAAACCGACAGGAATTTCACATGGATTCAAGTATACATGTGAAAGATAAAACTAGGAAGCTAATTAAAGAAAACATTGGGAAATATCTTGGTGAAATAGAGGTAAGAAAAAGCGAAAACTCACATACCAAAAGGTAAAAAAATGTGATGAAATTGAGTATATCAAAATTAAGGTGTCTGCTACATGAAGGACACATCACAAATTTGAAAATATATTTGCAATATTTAAAGTTACCAAGGAACAAACATAGAGAAGTTCTGTAGGCAATAAAATAATACAGGAATTCCAAAGAAAATGAGCAAATGTTCTCAAATAAGCAATTCACATAAGGGTAAGTGCTGGTTGCTAACAAGTATTTACGGAGATGCTGCATTAGTAATTAGAGAGATGCAGATTCAGCGGAATGAGGTACCACTTTTAGCCTGATAAGGATGGCAAACAATGAGAAAGTTGAATAATACCAAATGTCAGTATGTGAGAAGATGGAGACTACATAGTCCATTGTTGTTGAGAGTGGAAATGGCACAACTATTCTAGAAAACAATATTAAAGTAAATTCAATTCTCATCATTTGTGGTAGTTACATTCTATTAAAGTAGCAGTGAACACTGAATCATTCTTCTTGGGAAAAAACAGGGTTATTTTCTTGTGAGCCGCTGGTCACAACATCTTCATCAGCATACCCTTGTTTTATGTGTGCTTCTATTTAAAAACCCCTTAGTTAATGTATTGTTGATTCATTAACATTGATCTCTGCCAATAGCACTGTAACTGGTGCCTGAATGCAGCTTACCTAACACGTGTATTCTCTCTAGAAGGCACATCACACATTTTTTTGTGCTTAGAAACATTAGGCAGCACTTCAGCACTGTGCTTGAGTACCATTTTAAATAGCAAAATCACCCCCTGCCAAAAGCACACAAAAAATGCAAAAAAAAAAACCCCCACCACAACAACAACAAAAACACCCCATGGTCTTAAATGTACTATGAAAAGGACACTTGTGTGCAGTAGGAGCTGAAACAAGAAAGCAGAGTGTTGTCTTGTTAGACCTCAGCGGGAAGCATGGAAGTGGGTGGCTCAGGTATGTTGCTGCTCTGGCCAGTGAGTGGCCCTGAAAGTGCCGTGAGCATTGGTGTGGGGTTTAGTGAGTAAGCAAATGTGCAAATACAGAATCTGCCAATAATGAGGACAGACTATGTTTAGCTCAAGTCTATGCATTCCCAATGACTCCTTGTCCTGTGTTCCAGGGAAAACTCTCCAGGGGTCCATGAAAGGACAGACACGAGGACATTTGTGAAGACATTGGAGTAGCAAAGCGTTGGAGGTGGTTTCAGTGTCCCCCACGGGGAGAAGAGAGAAGTAAGATGTGATGAAATCATACCATGGAAATATTATACATCAGTTGGTACCAATGAAACTAGACGTATAAACAGCAACATAGGCAGATCTAAAACTTGGAACTGAATGCAAATATAAGAAAAAACCTGAAATGTGTAACATCATATATAAATTAAAAGTGTACATGCATACATAGCACATTACATATTTTACAAAGATGTGTTTATATTTATGGATGTACATCCAGCACATCGGAATGGATGCTTAAGTGGGGAAAGGAGAATGGGATGGGAATTGGGGGGATGGAGATAAAGAGGAAGATGAATAAAACAAGCGAGGAGCATGCACAGACTATAATGTGCTCAGAGCTCTCTTCTCCTAAAGTCCAGAAGCGGAAAAGTGCCACATTGGGGGGGGGGGATTGGAACTGCTGAGGGAGAACATGTGAATGGCACCCACCTCGCATTTCAGAGTGAGGAGCCAGGGCAGGCTCCCCTGAGAGACGATGTTTGAGGAGAAGCCCGAGTAAAAATTCCAGCTGACATAGACACAGCGGAAGAGGGCTTTGGAAGAGAGAAGAGTGCGTCATTGGTGAGAATGAGGACTGGGTGTGTTTGGGAAACTGAAGGAAGAGAGGCCCTGGTGAGAATTTGAGGTCAAAGAGGTCTTTTCAGGCCACATTAGCGAGAGCCTTCCAGTTATGTGGAGGGTAGTAAGGCAATCAGATTTGTCTGTCGGAAAACCCATTCTGCCCACTTATGGAATGGAGGGTGGGCACACTGTGTGTGTGTGTGGGGGGGGGGGGGGACGGTGAGGAGACTATTGTGCTCATTCAGGAGAGAGAAGGTGGGAACACCTGCCGCAGGGTTGATGAAGTGGGGATGGAGAGGAGCAGATGCAGCCTCAAGGTATTGGGGGGATGAAATTACCTGCTCTCACTCAGATCTTCACAACAACCTCCTGATACAGATGGGGAAAGGACTCCCCTAAATGCAGCAGGTGTCAAATGCCTTTCCTCCCACCCCACTTTTTACAGCAAGCTGCTCCACTACTGTGTGTGTCCGTGGTAAGCCATGTGACTGAACAACATACCTCCCTCTGGCCACAGCTTGTGGGCATCTGACCATGGGCAGCCAGGCCCCCAGCTACTCAGGGGCCTGGGACCTAGGGCCTGGTGAAACTTTTTAAAATACATTTTGATTGTGACAACAGATACGTGATATAAAATTTACCATTTTTAATGTATCTAATCTGAAGTGCCCGGCTAGCTCAGTCGGTAGAGCATGAGACTCTTAATGTATCTAATCTGCAGTGACATTAAATCGATGCACAATGTTGTGCAGCTATCACCACTGTTTCCAGAAGTGTTTCATCATTCCCGCGGAAACTCCATCGGCATAAAACAGGAACCCTCCCTTCCCCGCTCCACCCCCAGCTCCTGTGGCAGTTGTTTTCCTCTCCGTCTTTATGATTTGATTATTCCTCGTGCCTCATATAAGTGGAATCATACGATGTGTCCTTTTGTGTCTGGCTTATTTTACATAGCATAATATCTTTGGGCTTTATTCATGTTGTAGCATGTATCAAAATTTTATTATTTTTTTAAACCTGAATTATATTCTAGTGTATGTATAATATATACCACATTTTGTTTATTTGTTCATCTGTTGATGGATAGTTGGTTATTGTAAATAAAGCCACTATAAACATAGGTTTACAGATATCTCTTAGGGTCCTGCTTTCAATTCTTTTGAATATATACCCAGAAGAGGAATTGATGCATCATTTGGTATTTCTATGTGTTTTTTTGGTTTGTTTGTTTGTACAACAATATTTCTATGTTGTTGTTTTTTGAGGAGTCTCTGTATTGTTTTCCACAGTGCCTGCACCATTTTCCCCAAGGGTTCCAATTTCTCCATATCCTCACCAATGCTTATTATTTTCTATTTTTTATAATAACCATCTTAATGGGTTCAAAGTGGTATCTCATTATGGTTTTAGTTATTAAATATATTTAATTGATTTTTTTACAGAGAGGAAGGGAGAGGGAGAGTTAGAAACATCGATGAGAGAGAAACATCCACTAGCTGCCTCTTGCACACCCCCTACTGGGGATGTGCACGCAACCCAGGTACATGTCTTGACCCGAATCGAACCTGGGACCTTTCAGTCTGCAGGCTGACGCTCTATCCACTGAGCCAAACCGGTTTCGGCTCATTATGGTTTTAATTTACCTGATGGCTGGTGATGTTAAGGATCTTCTCATGTTCTTATTGGACATTTGTATATCTGTTTTGTAGAAGTAATTTATTTAAGTCTTTTGCCCATTTTTGGAGTTAGGTTGTTTGTTTTTTGTTGTTGTTGAATGGGAGGAGTTCTTTATATATTCTGGGTATTAACACCTTACCAGATATGTGATTTGCAAGAAAGTATATTAGATGTATTTTCTCCCGGAGTGGTGTCCTTTGATGCAGGAAGGACATGACTGTGGTGATGCAGAAGCCCATGAGGGTCTGGCCCGCGGTGTCAGAGCAGGAAGCCTGGACCATGGCTAAATGGTCACAGAAGCAGTGGTAGACCTGGGCCACAGAACTAAAAGCCACCTGGGGTGTCTGCACCACTGCTGGGGTGGGCAGGAGGAGGGCCATGAGCCAGGCACTGGCTGCTAATGCCCCATTGGTCTGTGGAGTCATGAGGTCAGGGTAGTGCAATGGGTGGCAGGTAGCCACATAGCCGTCATTGGCCACCATCCCCAGGATGAAGATTTCAGAGCAGGAGAAGCTCTGGAAGAGGTACATCTGCAGGAAGCAGGCAGGGAGGCTGAGGAAGTGGTCCCCACGCAGAAACAGGGACAGCATCTTGGGGACGGTGGTTGTGGTGGAAAGGATGTCCAAGACAGAGAGGGGTTATCAGGAAAAAGTACATGGGCTTGTGGAGGCTGGGCTCTGCCACCACAGCCACCAGGATCAGGGTGTGACCTGCAACAATGAGCAGATGGAGGAGGAGAAAGACACGGAACATGGAAAGGAAGAGATATTTTGGCAGAGAGGGGGTGCCTGTTAGGTAGGAGATGGTCAAGGAATCCTTTGATCCGTTACAGGCTGTGGCCTGCATGATGGGTTAAGCTGGATGCCCAGAAGGTGGGTAGTGATACCGTGGGAACCAGGCACATCTGGAAACCAGAACAATCAGTGATTCTGGAATGAGAGTTAAATAATGACCACTGTATAGTCAATGTAACCGTATTATTTACAGTGACTTTATTTTTTTTTAATCTTTATTGATTAAGGTATCACATATTTGTCCTCAGCCCTCCATTCCAATCCCCCCTCCCCCGACTCATGCTCCCACCCCCCCTATTGTCCTTGACCACTGGTTAGGCTCATATGTGTGCACATAAGTCCTTTGGTTGATCTCTCCCTTTTATCCTCACCCTCCCTTTGAGGTCCAACAGTCTGACCCATGGCTCCTTATCTCTGGGTCTGTTCTTGTTCATCAGTCTATATTGTTCACCATTTCCCACAGATGAGTGAGAGCATGTCCTACTGGAAATATACGTATAAGAATAAAAAATGCGACAAGCAATAATCGTTATGCTGAAAGGCATATGAATCAGTCTTTTTACAGTGACTTTAAAAGAAACATGATGGGCCCTCTCTTCATCCTATCCCAGAATCTGTTTTCTTTTTGAACCCAGTATGGAAAAAGCTCCTGTGATATACAAAAACCATGTGTTATATGCTGGCACATACAACAACAACACATGGTTTTGTAGTAGACACATTGAATGAGACAGAGAGCTCCAACCACATGGGACTGAAATTCTAGCGGCAGAGAAAGACACTAAGCAATAAATTACACCATCACTTAACTGCAATTGAGTTAAATGTTATGGAAGAACTTCCATTGGCCTGGCCCTCTTTTCCCCATCCCATCTGATCCTTTTGGGGATATCAGATCTCCTAAACCAGGCCTCTGCACTCCTTTCTCTTTGGCCATTTACTTTAAGTTTAAAAAAAGAAGTGACATCTTTGCCACCACGTTGCTAGGAAGGGCTGATTTCTCCAGGGTTTACAGTGACATGTTGTCTTCCCACCATAGTTATTAACCAGGGAATGACTTCTTTCTTTTATTTTTTAAAATTTTATTTTGGGAATGGCTTCTTTCTCTCTCGTTTGCTTGGTGCTATAGTTCTCCTTGTCTCTGCCTAAGACGAGTACTCTGCATCTTGTCTCTGGCTGTGGGGCCTTTGTCATGTGACAGTGAGGGGAATGACAATGAACATGCTCTTGGTGGGAAGGGTCCTTTCTGATGAGAGTCTGAACTCATAACGGGTTCTCCCGCAGTTGGGTAGCAACAGAGAATCCAAGACAAGGTCTGTGTTACTCCATTGAATTCACTTCCCTACTGGCTGCCGCAGCCCAGCCAATGCCCCTGTGTAACCACTGAGTGCCCACTGTCCAGCAGGCTTCCCACATCCCTGGTTAGAAGTGGTCATGTGGCCCGGGAAGGCTTGGGAGGCACGGTTGATAGGAACTGAAGATCTGCTTGCAGTACCTGCTCAAAGCCAAAGAACTCTTCCCAGAGCGGGAAGGGGGGGTTGGGAGGGGAGACACTTGAGCTAAAAGAGGTGCTGATCCACCCCGCTCCACTTTAGTTGCTCAGACTAAGCAACTACCCCATCCCCACCCCCGGCAAGTTCATGTTGACAGTGGTATGACTGCCTCTTTGATCTTGGTGATTCCATGAGCAATGTCCCTGTGATTTTCCTGGAGTCACCTCTAATTCCTTTCTCTTCTCACAACACCTCTTATGCATAAAACCACCAACAAAAAAACTGAAAAAAAAATCTTTATCTTTTTATTAATCTATTTATTTTCAAGGCCAACCAATTTCCCCTGAAGGCCAGGGACTGAGCAGAGTCTTTCTCAGGGGCCATCTGTATTGGTTCCAGAGTCACCACCAGAACTTAGGTCCTCAGGTCTCTGATTCTTAGGACAGGACTCTTTCTTCTATGCCATTCCCCCCCCCCCACCCCACCCCGAGAATCCAGAAGTGCGTTTTACAAACTTTATGTACATCATCTCTTCTTATTCTCATCCAGCCCTGCCAGGGTGTGGTTATCCCCCTTCAACAAATGAGAAGCTAGGGATCAGAAAATGACAGGCCATTGTCCAAGGCCATGGCTGGGGAGAGGTTGTTCCTTAGCTGACCTGTTATAAGAGACTGAGCCCCGCCTGGCAGCTATGAGTGCTGGCTCCTGAGCCAGTTCTGCCACTCACTGCTGGGACTTTGGGGCCCTGAGCCTTGGTCTTCTCATTGGTTCAGTGAGGAGCTTAGAGGAAAAGCCCACCTAGTGAGCATCTGCTGCCAGTGGGTTCTTTACATTCATTATGTCATGTGCACCTTAGTTCTTAAGGGTGTGGATTTGTGAGTTAGAAAGGATGGAATTGCAATCCCAACTCCTGCCTTCAGGTGTGACCTTGGGCAAGCCATTTTCTCCCCTCAGCTCGTTTCCCTCATTGTGACCTCCTGGAGTGGCTGTGAGTCTTTACAGAGAGAGTTCTGGAAAAGCTTACACCAGAACCTGGAACATGTGAGAGTGCACTTTGCTGCATGTTTCCAATGGCTACCACTGTCATTAAGTCTTGCTTTCCTGTGGGAAGCTGTTGGCCAATGTGATTCGAATCCCGCCTGTGAGCACCCTCTCTTACCCAGACCTGCCGGAATATGTGGTCTAAGATCTCAGAGCCCATGCATGCACAGCCATCCTGGATCCTAGTTCCCTGCCTTTTGTGCACACCCAATAAGTCTTCTTGATCCCTGGTTTACAGGCTCTGGCCTCCCTGCCCCTGCCTCCCCACCCCAGTTTTCTCTATCTATCTCTGGGGACTCCATCCCTAGCTCTTCTCACCTGTTAAGCCTGGTCCATACTGGTGTTTCCAGTAGCATCTCTCTGCAAGCCCTTGTTGAAGGCTGAGTCATAGCCCATTCAACCGTCAGCCCCTCCTGGGATACTTCCCTTAAGATGATGCTCCTATGGGGCACTGCACCCATAATTCCTCAGAGATGGACTCCCTCACATCTCCTAACGAGAGGGGGCAAGGATGTCCCTAGGCTTTGCTGATAATGAGGAGAATATCTTTAACAGCCCTCAGTGGCCCAACACTTTACTCCAATGGTGTAACCTTCATTCTCATTATGAGTTTGACTGATCTCCATGGGACAACCATCTTGTCTACCTGACTTTGCCTACTCTTGATGACTTTGGAGAGCTTTTTCTACCATGGATGCCCTTTGGTAAATAGTTACATGGGACTCAAGTATCTTCACAATTTGTGCCCCTTCTGAGAGATCTAATACCTTAACTCTTCTCCAGATTCCCTCTTTAAAAAAAAAAAAAAAAAAAAAAAAAATATATATATATATATATATATATATATATATATATACACACACACACACACACACACACACACACACACACATATATATAATTTTTTATTTTATTGATTTTTTTACAGATTGGAAGGGAGAGGAATAGAGAGTTAGAAACATTGATGAGAGAAAAACATCGATCAGCTGCCTCCTGCACACCCCTACAGGGGATGTGTCTGCAATCAAGGTACATGCCCTTGACCAGAATTGAACCTGGGACCCTTCAGTTCACAAGCCGATGCTCTATCCACTGAGCCAAACCAGTTAGGGCCAGATTCCCTCTTTATGAATCCTCTCATCTTGTTCTTTCCAAGTTCCTTCATATTCCAGCCAAACCATTAGGCATTGCTTATAAATTTGTAAATAGAGCCTTACCTCTTTTCATTGCACCTTCTAGACCTGCCAAGAAAAAAGCCAGATGCATTGTCCAAGTTTCTGCCCACAGACAGGATTTACCTTCTTGTTGACAGTTCAGGCCCTTCTGAATGCGGCCGTAATGCAGCAGCAGTCCACTTTTGGGTGGATTCAGCATATTTTGAAAAACTGTAAGTCAGGCCTGAATGTTTTTCTTCTTGAGAGAGTTGGTTATAGGATATTTTCCATGAGGCTGTATGTTAGAGTTGATGAAAAGGTGTCAAGGTAGCAAGATTGTGTGTCATGGGAGTCTAAGACAACAAACAGCTTATGCAATTTACTTATGCCTTTGAGATCTGCTTGATCTAATATAACATTTATTATTTACAATTGATGATGGGATATTTCTATACATATCCAATTTTATACTTTGTTTATTCAAATTCATACCCAATACATAAGGGACAGCTTAGGGTCCTATAGTCATTAAATGTTCCCTGGTCGGCATTCAATCTGTACCAGGAACTATTTTTCAAAAGGAGAATAGTTGTCTACTGTATAGAAAAAAGTGCGGGTCACTCTAAAATTCTAGGCCCAGTGCTGTGATTCTCCTATTACTAGCACGTGTTGCCTCAAAAATTTAAAGAGGATTCTAAAGTTTTGGCTATGACAGAATAGCTTGTTTTAACTAACTTTCCTTGTAAAAACAACTAGAAAAGCTGGACACGATATAAAACAATTGTTTGAAAAATTCAGAGAGCAACCAAGGGCAGGTCTTGAAGAACTGCAGTCCTTGAAGGAAGAAAGGCTCATGAGGTGAGTTCCACAGGACTCCAAATTTTTACCTGAGGGCATTTCCCAATTTTCAGGACTGGAGAATAGAGCTGAATCAGAAAAGGAAAGTCTCCCTTGGCTGAGGAGACATGGAGTTGGAATTTGGGTAATCAAAGTGACTGACGCTTGAGGGGCAAGATCCTGGAGAGCAGAGTACTTACAAAGAGAAAGAATCTGTATACAAATTCCCTTCTTGACCAACTCCTAAAGTGCACATATAGGGAAAGATGTGGAAAAACTAGGAGCATATAGCCCCTGGGAGGCTACCGAGCTGCAGAAAGATTGGAGCAGCCACATGATGGCGGAGAGTCAGAGGTTGGAACCCAAGGCTTATCTAAGTGGATGGGTCTTGGTAAGTGCCCCAGGACTCCTGTCGAGACCCTGGAAATGGTCTAGGAAAAACGGCTAAACCCTAAATATAAGAACCGAATTAGAGTAGACGAGGCACCACATGGCCTACAATCAAGCCACAGCAAGGATGACCCACT